GGGTTGGAGGCCATTGCTGGTAGGTTGGAGGCCATTGCTATTGGGTTACTGACAAGAGTTGCCATCTGTCAAAAGTGAGCTTTTCTGGGGTCTGAGATGATATATGTCAGACAGCAAATCTCTTGCATTCGGGCTCGTGGCTTCAATCAGGCTTTCGGCTTTAGATTTCAGGCCCTTCGGAATTCTGGAACCCTTAAAGCCCTAACTTATAACCAAGCTATTGGCCAAGACCTCAACTTGCCCATGAGTCGAGCTGTTCAAGGAAAATCGCCGAAGCGCCAAAAACCCAAGCCTTTTCATGCCTTTTCCTTCTACCCGAGCAAGTCAACTTTTGAGTCCTGCAGCATCTTGTACACTTTCGCCAAGCTTGCCTGCTTGTTCACAGGAATCACAACAAATTCACTGAACCCAAGTAATCTATGTAGTAATCTCGTTTGAGGCTGAACCTTCTGCATGTGTTTTTTGCTTTGGATTGTTGGCGACGATATGGAAAGGGAAGTGCAGCAATGTTCCTCCCGACCTTGTTCTGCGTCTCCAAGAGTTCTGCCAACCTCAAGTGACAAACTCGGGCCAGGACCTCTACTTTTGTGCCGAGCGCTTACTTAATTAAGTCGCGGCCTACTTACTGCAGGAGATCTAAGGTTGGCTTAAGTATGCGCAAGTTAAACTTGTATGCTACTACTTACTGGCCGCAGGATAGCTCATGCTCGCACTATTCATTTGGTTAGATATGTGAGCTTGGGCGACCAGTCGCACTAAGTCTAAGACTTTGCGCCAGAGCGTGTTGGGCTCTGCCGGTGTGCTTTTCTTCATTTGTGTTTGAGTTGGTTGGAGGCCATTGCTATTGGGTTGGAGGCCCTTTGCTCCTAGTAGCTTCTTGCTCCTAGTAGCGATGCCCTTTGCTCCTAGTAGCTACTTGCTCTGAGTAGTACGGCCAGGAGCCCCTAGTAGCGTCCTTGCTCCTAGTAGCCATCGCTAGTAGCTGAGCTTCTCTTGGTCCCCAACCACTTGAGCTTCTCTTGTGCTTCCTGCCTGGCTGCCTGCCAGCTTCACACTTGGTACCAAAAGAGTTCAGCCTCCATGTTTGCGAAACGGGTTTCATAACAACCAATGAGAAGGTAAGGTCCCTTGTTATGGAACTTGCAGGTGTTCCAGTTTCAAACCAGGCGTTCAACCTTTTAGTTGTCCCATGCCGATGCACCGATGCAAACCTGACAGCATACCAGATAGGATGCATACCCTGACAGGGCCTGACCTGTCCCTTTGATGGACAAGACAAGGCCCGCAAAAACAGGGCGCAAAGAACAAGTCCGCACTAGGCCAGCTTCTTACTGCTGCACTAGGTTCCAACTGATCACTCCACAAACTCCTGTCTCCTCTACCTGTCGCAAATCGCACGCAAATGCACTCTTTTCTCTCATCGGCCCCAGCCAATCCAAGTGCGGTTCGGGTAGGGTTTGTTGGTGATCCAAATGTTCAGCGCATATTTCACGACCCCGTCCTCCGAAGCTAGGAGACGAAGCGACTCCAAAATCTAGCTAGGAACTAAATCATTAGTGCAAGCGCTTCTTCAAGGAAGCCTCCGTCTTTGGGGGGAGCTTCCTTCAAGAAGCGTGCGCTATCCTGCCTTCAGTATGTCGTAGCTGCGTAATTAGCTTATATAAGTATATACCTACCAGCTTACTCCCTTGCTTAATTAAGCAGGCACCTACTTAATTAAGGAGGCAGCGCCACGGGCACAAAAAGAGCACGAATCTGACCGGCCTTTGCCCCCCAGTTTTCAGAAAACTGAATAACCCGAACTTGTAAGTAAGTAAGCTTGCAGTATCTAAGTAAGCAGCGAAGAGAAGCTATAAGCTGGAAACTGTAGTAGTAGTAGTAGTAGTAGTAGTAGTCGTCGTCGTCGTCGTCGTAGTAGTAGTAGTAGTAGTCCTAGTAGTAGTCGTAGTAGCAGTAGTAGTAGTAGTAGAGTAGTAGTAGTAG